GCTAGATTGAAAGATCAGTCTTGCTGAAGTCTACTCATATTTGCCCAATCGATGTACGTACCCGTAACCATTGGTCTATCATATTATCTTTGTTACCATTGATCCTAGAATCAAGAAATTTAGTATTTACGAGTAATTTAACCTCACACATCGTTTCGGGGTACAAGAAAATGATACACAGGAAGATGCGAAACTCATTACCCCATTTTTTTTCAGGATTTATCTCATTTTTAGTATACGCCAGAATATAATCATTGTTTGTTCTCAATTTATAATAATGAGCAAAGGGTGAACAAGAAAAAACATCATATTATATGATGAACTAGTAAAGGCAGAAATGGTGTTTTTTGATATGAGACAATTCACGTTTATCGAATTGCATGCAATTATTTTATTCACCAAGGTATATATTATATCAGTATTACCCAGGGACCAAGCTCATATCCCGAGGAGCCAACCTGTGGTATATAATAATATTTTTATATATTCCGATTATTTTAGTTCTGTGGAACTGAAATAATATCGTCCTATGAAAGCACTTCTTTTCAATTCTATTTTAAATTTAGTAGCCATGACCATGGCATCATCATGACAAGTCTCCATTGATAAATTGAAAAAATCCCTCATGCTGTGTTAATACCTACTTAGGTACTAGATTCGCTTGCATTCCTGCGAATCTCGTATCAGGACAGTAAATTCGGATTAGTTATAACAGAGGTGGCTATGTCTTTATGATTTAGTATTTCATAAAATTATCAAAACTACCTTTGTATTGAAAACACATTTTACGCCTCAAAAAGGAGCACATAATGTTAGGTTCTTTATAGCTATAGTAGTGGAAAAAATTTCATATGAATGTATATATCAACGACCGCACTTAAGCAAAACAATCGCCAGTTGTTTACCAATCAAGAAACCATTCAAGGCAAGATGATGTATTCGAAAAGAGAACAAACAAATCGCCTTTTGATAACCGCATACAATAAACCCGTCATCGGGCTAAAACCAAAATCATGCGTATAAGAAAGAAAGCGTTTTCTTAGTAAATTATATTTATTTTCGATAATAAATAACCCGACTTTCGTATTAGAGCTCTTATATATCAGCCTCACTAATTGAAGCTTGTGTAAACATGTGGTTTTTCTGGAGCGAGATATAAGTGCTAGACTCTACGGTATCGGGATTAGATTACACACGACGAATGTGGCGCGCAGATGCCGGATGAAGCGGCAACGTCGCGCGGGGTTGCCAACCCTCGAGGAATTCCTTCGATAATGAAGCGTTTGTGATGGGTTCGAAACGCATTTGGAAGGTTCTGGAGGCACAAAGAGCTCATTAATGAGGGATTATGGGGCACCAACTGATGCGGCAGACTTATGGTGTTCGTTTCAGTTGAAAGTTCATCTACAAATATTCGGATGATTGTAGAAAACATATCGTTTGTATTTTGTCGGCTTTATTTCCTCATAAGCATGAAGCAAACTATTGAGTTGGCATTTTCTTTGTGAAATTTTCAGTTTACCAATGAATTCAAAAGTCCTTGATAGGAAAAATTCCAACATACATACAGTATGATGCAAATTTATGAAATGAATTGATTGTTTCGAAAATAGACGACCCTTGAAAATAACCCAAAACCAGGAAAGTCATTCATATGAGAGATGTTACGTCACCTAAGTTAGAGTAATTACATAATCAAAGATTTTTACAAATTCAAACAGTGGACATGTGACTCCTTATTGAAAGGGTCTTCTATATTTGTCTATATATCCAACTGTATGACTATAAAATATTTATCTATATCATATTTATTTTGTCTCCCATTTCTGAAATAATGAATTCATTTCATACATTTACATCATACTGTATACTGACTTCTTTATGAAACTTCACTATTTCAGACATTTTCTGAGGATTTCCAACATGATTGTGATTTTTTCTTCTACAAATAGTACAAATTGCTTCCACATGGAAGAACCTTGCCCCAGAAATGATCTTATGATATTTGTAACTTCCTATCAATTACCTAAAAAAAAGGAAGTTTTCCTCAAGTTTTGTCATTGAATGAAATAATTCAGTTGCATTTCAAATGCCACTGGCAGATTGAAAAACTACCCCACAAAGATAACCAATTATAAGGAAGAGTTTCCCTTTTAATACAGATTCCGAAATGGTAAAACATATGGGGTTATTCAAAACAGCCTTTTTGTTATTATTTTTTTTCGAATGGGTCGCGTTCTTCAAAAAAATGAATAACTTTGAACCATCAACAGTTTTATTTCAAATTACTCCCCTAACACCCCATTTTTTTTTATCGCTTGGAACGCACGAAAGGGAATCCCTATAATGTTCAAAGAACATCTTGCGTTCCTAGGGAGGATAGGGACAGGAGGTAGGTATTGGAATTTTTTTTGATCCATTACTTATGGGGCACCTTGTATAAATACAATTCTTCAATGAGTATGCTAAATTATTCGGCAGCATTTGATTAGGTCTTTAACACAGTTTTCTCTCGAAGTTTATCACCAACAAATTTAATTTTTTCCTAGAGCTGTAGCAAAAATGGACGACTTTCGAGTTGGTTGCGGAGAAAATATAAACGACATACTCTGACAATGTCAATGTACTGGTACACGCGAATTTCAAAAAAGATTTGTATTCCTCCCAAATAAATTGGAACTGTTAGCTAATTGATAGCTCTTTTGAAAAGACGGGGCCCGACGTGGGCCCGAATTGTGTAATTTGGACTCGAAAAACACCGATGATTACCCCGCCCAGGGCCTGCTTTTCGTGTGTCATTTGGGCCGGTATTTAGACCGATTGTTATAATCCGAATGACAACCGAAATTACATAGGGTTTCTATTACCATTAAGTTGTCGTCGTCGTAGCTCCAAACATCTCCTCTTTACACCTCGGAAATCGAATAAGAACGGCCATCCGTCTTTTCCAAGAAAATAGCTATAATTATAATAAAAAGCGGATAAAAAAAGTTCGGTCGTGGCACGTGGATTTTGGGCGTTCTTAACCACCGTGTAATTACATATTACCGAAAAGGTCCACCTTTAGACCTTTATCGAAGCTTTTCGATCAGGCTCCCTCAGTTTTTCGTATTATAACTTTACTGCTGCCAAATAACAGGGTACAGAGCGCTCTCATCAGATTTGCCAAGTTTATTAAATGTAAAAAACCGCTCACAACTACCCATCAGGTTATATTACCCAGTTAGTCATTTTATATGATAATCATAATGATGTGGATGATAATGATGATGATACGTAATATGGATTAAAAAGTTTATTTTTTTATCAAGAAGTGGCCATCTATTTCGGTTGTATTGCCTAATCAGTTTATCATAAGGAATATCACGGCGAGGTTCTGAATATTCGAGAAAATTATGTCGCTTCATTGTTCACTAAACTGTGATGCCCAGTTTGATGCTTTACGGCAATATACAATTGAGTTAACAATGAAAGACAGAATTATAAGAAGACATTCAGAACAGAGTGGTATTTTGCTAGGCTATTTCACGTTCACGAAGCATGATGGGGTTAGGTTAGATTCCATGTGAATACTGTCTCTCCACTGCGACCCCAGATTGGTCTATTGTGGCTCACCCCTAGAGGTTACAGTTCACTGTACAATCCACATTTTTTACAAAGTCCATGGTTGAATTAGTCTGAAATCGATAGGTTCTAAATTGGTAAGGCCAAATATGTCGAACCTCAGTCTCTCAAAGCAAAGGCATGAACATAATATGTGTTCAGCCGTTTCGTCTTCCACACAGCAAAACCGTCAGTCCGTTTGTTGGTTCAGACCCATCCTTCCAGGTGGTATCTTAGATGACAGTGTCCTGTAAGCAGTCCTGTCAGAATTCGCAGGTTACCCCTGCTCCATTCTAGGATCTGCCTGGTTATATTTTTCGATGGATTAGGCAGAAACCCTTCGAATGGGTTAATCCTGGTAATTCAGACCAGTACGTGAGTCTATTTTTCCTCCGTCCAGTCCGAGATAGTTGTTTGGCCGCACTTGTGGTGATCCCAAAAGTATGGTTCTGGTCCTATATGAATACATATTCGGTTCCCTGGCGGTTCCCTTTCTCGTTGCCAGGACCAACAACAAAGTAACTCTGTTGTTTGCACCCAGGCATTCTAGGTATTCAATACAGCTCCATATACAAGCTTGGAATTTATCTTGCTGGAATTCAGTGTTTCAAGAGCAGCCTGACTGTCACAAAGCATATAAAGTATTTATTATAAATGATTCTGACAAGTACAGCCATAATTATTTTATGCCAAACTCACAGACTTTGCTTCGCTATCCATGGTTACATCTAGACTTTCCTTCGCTATCTATGGTGATACATCGTTGAAAACATCAATGCTGTTAGATCAATCAGAATTGAAAGACAACTACTGTTTTCGCGATAAGGACAAGTTGTCTCTGGCTTGTGATTGGTCATAAGATTATGTGGTGAATGAGTAAATGAACAGTTCATTGTACCAGTATGCGAAACATGTCGTGTGTTTGAGAAGTTTTTTGGGAATCTTATCGTTTGTAAAGTTTCAACATAGAAAATTATATTATGAATGAAAGTTATCTCAAGGATTGACCAATTTGTTTATCTGTTAAAGCGCACGAAAGGAAATTCCTATAAAGTTCGAATAACATCATGCGTACCTTTTAACACCCTATATTTTAAGCTAGGAGATTACTTTGGTCCTGTTATTATATAAAAATTTGATTCTAGCATATTACACTTAGAGGAGTAAATAAAATCTAACACAATCAAATATTGAACAGCTGTGCAATAAATTTGACACTCGAAAATTACCGTAAATTCGTTTTTTCTAGTATGATTCTCATTGGCAAACTAAGTTATCAAAAGTCATCGAAAGCGTTTTGTCTGGAATGCAATTGTACAGTGTTCCATTGAAAAAATATGACTTGATAATGTTTTTTATCAATATTGTCAATATGCTCATTGGAATTTTTGTTACAGATACGACAAGAAAAACCTTATTACATAGCAGACCCAGAAGTAGACTCATTAGTAAGTATTAAAATGTATCTCCTCCTGATTACGTGTATAATATATTTTGTTTCAAAATATTTCAAAAAATGCAATCCACTTCTTTTCAAATAGCCTCAGTATTTATGTTTTATTCTAATAGATTTATCTCTGTTTATTTCGTATTTCTGACGACAGTGCAGTAGTGGGTATGGACACGCAAATGCCGTGAGCAAAAATTAAGTTATATCACGCATATCTAATCAAGCGACTATTATTTTCGATAAAACGTTCCAAGTATTAAAACATACAATTGACATGCAACAAATTCACAATCTTAGGAAGTGATTTCTCAAAACGCTAGACGCTCCATTCGAATGAAAATATCAAGTGGGATTTTCAATTATTGCATTGGTTTTAATGCTAGTTGCATGGCCACCCCTGATATTCGAGCGGTTTTATTTGCATCAGATATATCGGCCGACATTTCCATCTAGCAGGCCGTTTTACGGTACAAGGTCACGTGATTTGAGAGTCGATTTTTACCTAGCGCACAAGCAAGCTGCGAGTCGAAGAAAAAAAAAGCTATCGGCCATCCACGAGATATAAGCGTTTCTTTGTTGGTTTGTTCTTAACCGTGGTCGTAAATAAATTTTGATGTCCCGCAAATAAAAATGAAATAAAACTTTTACATCTATCTGTAGACGTTGGACGTTGGGCGTTTTTTTTTTGGTGATATCCAGCGACTTCGATTCCTCGTTTTATAAATTGAATTGCAAATTGAGACACAAATGTCTATTTAAATTATTAATGAGTCGAAATATACATTAATTAATTTTCAACGTAACTCTTCGTATCGAGCAGGTTTGTCAAAGCATCGAGCAGTCAAAATGCATACGGTTTTACACTGAATTGAATGCAAAAAGTTCAGCCCACGTTTGTATACCTATATGCTTGAACTCAATCGAGTAGTATTATTCCAGTCCCACAGTTGAGTAGCAGAAGAAACCGGTGTCTACAATGACCTCACGTAGATAAAGTTACATGAAAATGTTATTAGTTGATAAATAATTGTTGAATTTGTCTCGGCGAGTTTCGGTTACCACTATTAACGAAAATTACGATAAACAGGTACAGGGTACAGCTAATAGAACAGGTAAATAACGAATATAGAATATGTATGTGAGAATTTAGCTTGAGATAAGAAAAAACTACGTCGGAGTCTTTGAGAGTTCACTATAAACGAACTATTTCCAGAAATACTTTCAATAGACCTTGCACCGAGGAAAACCATGGGCATCTGAAGCAGTTTTTTTTTATTCACTGCAATGATTTTGTTGAATTGATTTTTATATAATTTACTCTCTCAATATTTCAACAACAACATGGTTGCACTGAAGTTTCACACCACTGAGGGCAGGATAATATTAAATAATTAATTGTTGCTTGAATACACGGATGTTTTATTTCATTTATAATGCGATTTTATCTTTCATGGAAGAAACCGCAAGTATATACCTGATGACTTTTCCCTATGACTTCTTTATTGTTGAAGGTAGTAACATCAAATGGGGCGTTGTCAATGATAGTTGAATTGAAATAATTTGACATATTTATCTTGCCTTACTTCCGGTTTGATCAGAAATGAACCAAACTTTCGAGTTTTGAATGGGACACCCTGTATATTATTCCATCATCGGTTAGGGATTGCCATAACGAATTCAGCGATACCAGGTTTGATAGGATTATTTCGAACGATTACGAAGATATTTGCATTCAAACTTTCCATATGATCAATGGGTGTGACGGCGCAATATCGAAACTTCTTTCTCTGTCACACTCATTGAGCTTATGGAAACTTTGAATGCAGATATCTTCGTAATCGTTTGAAATAACCATATCAAACCCGGTATCGGTGAATTCGTTATTTCAATACCTAACCGATTATGAAATAACATACAGGGTATCCCATTTAATAATCCGAAGTTGGGGTCATTTCCGGCCAAACCGGAAGTACGCCAAAGCGAGTAGATATCTCAAGAAGAGTCAATTGAACTACAATCCACAGATCCCGATTTACTGCCTCTAATAATAAGAAAGTTATAAGGTTGAGCCACATTGAAAATCACCCGGTATAGTTAGTTATATATCTGTTCAGCAAGAATGATTTTTTTTTCTGCAAGAGTTATGAGTAAACCTAACTACCAATATACTAGGTAATAAATCGCTGAGGACTTTGAGAGTACTCCTGATGTAATTTCATTCGTTTAAGTTAATTTACCTTGATGAATGAGTTTGCACTCATCACGAATGAACAATTCTCTCAGAATATTCATTGAGTATACTGTGTTCCTTCATTTCAATCAAATTATTCAATTACAGTAAGTGTACGGTATATTACCAACAAGTTGTCGGTTATATACCCATTTCAACTTCACTGATTATTTCCAACAAATAATAACACTTATAATTCCTAACAAAATAATATATTCACTGTAATTTTTTCAATATTGCTGATCTTTAGGTGCTAGATTTCTCATTTTACTCATTACGAGTACTTAGAGCAGTTATCCCATACAGATGAACTTCTAGCAGTGCTAGCTATCCGACCCCTGATTTTCCACTAATATCATTACAAAATAAATTCAATTACCGCAGACAACCCCTTCGTTATTTCAAATTAAAAATAATTTTCGTGGTGCGGGTGTTATAGTATACGGTGTCTCGACGGCCTCGTAGCGCAATAAATAATATTCCGGGTCCAGTAGCACAGTTTCTTTCAGCGTGTCACGGCCTACCAAAAATTAATTGGAAAAAGAGATAGCGGTGTACTTTCTTATAGAGATTAAAATCTTTCTGCGTTGTAATTAGCTTTTTTCGGCGTTATTGAATTTTATATGGCTACGCGGCGTCATTAGCATATCCTGCATATCTACAAAAATGGAGATTTTGGGAGAGTTGTCTAGATACAGTGTGAAAGAATATCTACAAAATTGTTTTTATTTTTCCACTTCGATATTATACTTTATATAGGGCGATTGAAAATTCGATGTGAATATTATAAGGACGTATTGTTGGCATCAAAATATGACTTTTTCTTCATATCAACCATTTCGGCTAATAAAAGTGAGGACCCCCCCTCCTCCAACCCCCCTAAAACTGTGTTTACATCATTTTTGAAGAAATAATGAAAAAAAGTGTCTATAAAAGAACAGGGGCCTGCCAATTTTCAGAAGATGATCCGTTGTTTTAGTCACAATTTCACAATTTATTTTTTCTTTATCCCACTTACAGTGGCTGTAGCTTGGACGGGGTAAATTTTAGGAGACATGTTTATATGAAGAAGACGTCACATTTTGATTCCAATAGTACCTCCTTAAAATATTTACATCGAATTTCGAATCACCCTGTATAATTTCATGAAAATATATACAGGGTGTGCCAAAATCATCTGCCACACTTCACCAGCGGCTTCTCTCGCCAAAAATAGGAAGATAAGTTCCAATGAATATGAGTCGAGTAATGTCTCCTGAAGATGATATTTCTTGAATATTTTCGACACGCCACGTGATAAAATGATGCAATTTGGTTAAAGAACTAAACTTTCCATGCCCAATGCGTAGAACATAGAATTATTCAGGAGTGTATAATACTGGGTGGGACTACAATAAATATTGCTCAAACTTTTTGGTATGCATATTTTTCGACAATTCAATCTCGGATTATATTTATTTTCGGAAACTTATTCTGCGTTGTTAACTCGATCCAGAGAGAGGTCACGTGACAAAAAAATCGGATCACCCACTCATGTTCAACGTTTACGAACGTGTCAGGTTAGGAACACAGAATTACATCTTCTTCATACGTTATATATATTGATGTTACGTACGAAGTGAAGAATGAAAATGACAAAAATATAATCGACTAGTAAAAAGCCAAATACTCAAAGGGAAATGCAATGGTCACAAAGAGAGAGGAACTCAAAATCATTACCACACTAGTTGTTCATTAAATGAACGAAAATGGTAGATAACGAGAGAAAAACATTTACTTTCCGTGGCATATATCCAGGAAAGTAGTTGTTTCTTTCTCGTTATCTACCATGTTTCGTTCATATCATGAGCTAGTGTGGTATAATGACCTCGAGTTTCTCTCTCTTTGTAAAAATATAATCCTCTAATGTCGTTTCTGTTGATTATTTGCTGAATTTCAATAAAACGTACTTTCTAAAGTGTCAAATGTCAATCGCGTAGTGTCATGTATTTGTATCGAGATGGAAGGAAATATAGAATATGATTATTTGAAAATCTTGAAGGAATGACAGCCGTATGAAATATGCCTCGAGTTGCAACTGTGAATTAGGAGTTGTGAAAAAGATGCCTAATTTACAGTTGCACCTGAAATTAGCACTAAATTATGGTTGCAACGGTGAATATGGCAAAGAATCGTGAAAAAAAGTGGCTGATGCGTTGTATATATTTTTGATTGGGCAGGTCAATGATTTTCAGTTGATTCTTCAAACTGTTGCATCTTAATTCCATCCATTGGATTGACCGTCGTTGTGTAACGACATCGATTTCACGGTATGGCGGATTAAAACACAATGGGCAATGGGCAATGGATAATACGAATCTAACAGAAAATGCTTTTGTTCGTTGTTGTTTCTTCACCCCCGATGTGTGTGTAATGATTTTGTTGCACACTCCGATTGTTTGCAATTCCAGCGTGCGGATCAAAGATAACGGGAGTGAGTCAACTGAGCATGAGAATTAAATTGTTAAGAGCATTTAGTTTCATACAATGTAAAATAATGACTTTTCATCGAATCAGGAATCCTGACCATTACATTTATACTATGGAAAATACTATTGTAGGAAGATGCGATGAAGGATTTAGGGGTACACTTCACTGAAAATCTAAAGTTTACTGAGCATATAACTATTGTGAGAAGTGAAGATTTTAGAATGCTATTGAGTTTCTTGAACGTTCAACATGTGAATTCAGGAATATTGAGTCCGATCAAATTGCATTATTACTATTTGGTTCGCAACCGTCTTGAATTTGCATCCATAATTTTGGATCCACATGTTCAGGTCTTGAAAAGAACTTTGGAATCTGTGCAAAATGAATTCTTGAAATATCTGTACTACTGTCGACACAAAGTGAATCCAAGGTTCGAATCTTACCAACCAATACGCGATGAGTTTAAAATACAACATTTAGAGCACAGAAGAGTTATTAATAAAATCGTATCTATACACAAAATATTGAATATCTCGATAGAGAGCGAGTACCTTTTAGTTCTAATAAATATTCTAGTACCCTTAAGAACACTTCGTCCAAGACCCATACTCTTTCATGTGTCGATGACAAGTTACTCTTTAATGAACAGTATTATCCAAATTTGTAATAAGTATTTTGATAGAATGAATAGTTGTTTTTTTGATACCAATTTAGCCAAGTTTCGGAAGGATTTGTCGAATTTATTCTAATCACAATTAATACCTGTATTCTCTAAGGCTCTAAGTTACATCATACAACAAAACCCATCAGTTCAATTGTTGCTCTATAATCAATAATTTCCTCATTTTTTTTTCCTTAATCGATTGGTGCGCACGAGGGGAAATCCCTATAATGTTCGCAAAGAACATCTCGCGTACCTAGGGAGGATAGGGATAGGTGTTGGATTTTTGTGTTAACTTTTGGATTGAATTCTTGCAAACCTTTTATTTGATCCATCAGATATTATCTTCAGACAGGGGCTAAATATTCTCGGCAATATAGACGCTGTGTCCCTCACCTAGATTAGTTTTAATCGTCGGCTCCTTTATCGCACTATTTATCCCAACGGATTGAATATTTTTCTGAATATTATTCAGCCATGCCGATGCCCCTTCCTCATTTTTACTGCTTTGTACAGGATGGTGAGGCATAGAGTTTATATTATTGAATCCGAAAGATTTTTCTTTTGCGGAGTTGATATTCTCCCGCAGATGGCAGGGAGCTGAAGGGCCGCAATCGACCATCTCTGGTAATTTTCTGTACTGTAAGCTCGTTCATTGCCAGTGCACACCTACGCCATCTATAAACAACGGACCAGACGCTAATTTGTTCCGGAAAACAGTGATTTATCTAACAACTCCGGTCTTATTGTTACAAGTACCCGTAATCACAGCTAATCTCTTTCTGGTTCTCTCCAATTACAATTCTGAGATTTTGGCTATATAACTATCTACAATAATTAGTTTGCCAAACTCCAGCCACACTTTCTTGAGCAGCTTCTATTTCCCATGATAGTTTGTTTAATTCATTTTTCAATCGAATGAGGGCGCTAACATTATGGTTATTATTATTACTATTACTAAACCGCGCCACCGAAACAGGAGGTCAGAGTTGGTAGAACTGATATATATATACTTTTTATTTTCGTTAGCGCCATCTGGTGAGAATGAAAATATTAGCCCCCATTTACTCGACAAAATTTTTGAATATAATATTTTACCCATCCAGTAACCTTATGTAAATTAAATTGTCGAATTGTTATTCCTTCGCTGTATTGACCATAAAATGTCATTATATTGATTGTGAAATATATAGGACAACCGCATCTTAACAAAAATCGCATCAGTAGTCAGTAGTCATCTAGTAAAATAAGCCCTTATATAAAATATTACTGTTGTCTGTTTACTTGAATTTAGCGTCCTCCCTTCAAAGGTCCAAAATTCCCTTATTGGAGAAATGTTTCTTTCCATTTCTAAATAATCTCCCTTTCCCATTTTTGTTCTTTGAAGCCTCTAGTGAAGTTCGGCAGACTAATTAAGGAACACCCTGTATATGACGGTGATGATCGTCTTGGCACCATTACGGGTATGAGGATAAGATTGCTTTAGCGATGGACAATAACACTTTCCGAGATTTCACACTTGAAATAACGGCGACAATGTCCATTTGTGTGACCGCGAAATGAATGAGACCACCCACGGTACCATGTATAAGGTCACAGGTCACATAAAACTCGAGCACGACACTTTCAGACAACGTTTTTGTGGTGTTGAGTATTCCAGTTTCGTTTTTAATAGTGAGAAAGAGTCGTTTATAGAAGAGAATTCAATTTGTGAGACACAGAGTTTTAAATGGCCACCCTGTATGACTTATCGTTATGGTCAAATTCAGTCCGTTATGTATGAATGATGGTCATGATAATCAAACTGAAATCCAACTACTGCAGAGTTTATTTTACGTCTGTGGAGGATTTTCCCACTACTCTAAAAGCCTATCCTGTCTATCAGAAAATGGAAAATGCATCTCAATCCTAGCGATTTCACTCGAATTGCGAGTAAGATTTAAAAACGGACTTTATCTCCAAAGTTCGTCACACGAGCTCAGGTGTATGGAACGTTCGATTAAATAGATACAGAGTTTCATATTATGTCCACTCTGTATGACTTATCGCTATGCCAAAATTGAGTTCATTATGTATGAATGAAACTGATTTCACTGATAACCAACTACTGCACAATGTATTTTACTTTGGTGGAGGATTTTCCCACTACTCTAAACGCCTATATACCAGAAAATGGAAAATGCGTCTCAATCCCAATCCTAACGATTTCACTCGACTTGCAAATGAGATTGAAAAAAGCATTCTATCCTCATATTTATCGAACCTCGTTCGTAATCCTGAGCATCGAAACATTCATCGGAGAACCAGCTACAAAACTGTTAGATACCATCTCGGCATCAAAGCACCGAAACCCGAATGGCCAGTCGAAGAATTCCCCATAATGGTACTTTGTATTAATTATATGCGCGAGAGATAGCTCGATTTTTAAAGTCCATTAATATTATTAACATTTCAACCTCCGGATAACATTGTGGGAATATGGTAATGGTGATAAGTTATATATAGTCAAGCGATTTCAGAAACAATCAGGTCATCCGTCCATCAAGATTTGTTCGTCCGAACGAATGGGATGAAGCTGAAGAAAGACTTGTTGTAGACACGATTCTTGTTCGATTCATGAAAAAAGTTCTTTGTTCAGCTTAGTTAGTGAATGGCGTCTTTGATCTTTGATCATTGCATCGATAACAAATGCATATTGGTATAGTAATGAAATCCTACTAGGTAATTTACTTGGTCAGTCATGGAAAGCATATGAAACCAAGATACTATATATACAGCTCATAAAGAGGTATTGACCTTCAATTTTGTGAACTTCTTTTCTTCTCAGCATTGATTCATATCAACGTCAACTACGTCATCATATATTGTAACTCTCTGGGAGTTAATTCGAAACTTCTAATGCTAATCGGAAGGTCGATCGATGTAGTCTTCCCATGAACATTCTTCGCATGTACATGAAGTGGGTCAGTCAGTTCATGCATCAGCTATAGGTATTATACATGATATTGTTGAACCATTTCCACACGATTTCGAACAAACATCTACAATGTGTATTTCAATTAAGTAACCTGGAAGAATCACAATCTGATAGTGAAATTTCGTGAGAGGTCACTACTACTAATACTACTTCTGCTTCGTTTGTAGTGTGTGATAAGATCATAACAACTTTGATGGAGAGACCTAAAAATCTATCTAATACACTATAATGACTAGCTCTGTCCTTGAAAGGAAAAAATACTACTTTCTATCAAACATTTTTGAAGATATGCATGCATATAAGTTTGATGAAACAACTTTATGATGTCTTTCTTTATTTTCAGATGGTGCAGGCAATACAAGTTCTTCGGTTTCACCTCCTGGAGTTAGAAAAAGTAAGTAAAGAGAAAGCGATCCGTCTTTCGATTTTTAAAATAAAGCCCCATTTTTCGCTAGTCATTTCGCTTCTGAAAAATGACCCGCCATAAACTGTTAATATCAAAACGGAGTGAAAACTAACTACACCCCTCCCGATATTTCTTCGTTAGTGTAACATTAGGGGTAAAGCGAGGCTCTTAAGTGATTAGGTTCTGTGTGAAAGTACACATTTTCGATGCTATTGAAATGAATTTGGGAATGGTAACACCAGGGCCGGATCCAATACAAACCAGCAAGGCAAGGAATACTTTAACATCTAATTCTTGAAAAATGACTACGGAAAATTCTATAAACTCTAAATCATCACTGAAGTACTCCATTGATTGAGAATGTAATTAAGGCAACTTTCAACAAATGGATTATGAATGATCTATAGGCGATTCAGAATAACAACTAATGAAAAGTACATTGTATGTTTGTTTATATTCAAGTTTCAGATAACAGGGCAAAAGGCCCAGTTGTTGGGCAGGTTTTTCTTTTCTTTTCCGGGGATCGGTTGGACTCTAGCTATTTCTCAGCAGAATGGAAAAACATAAGACTTGTACGAGATGTTAAATAACTTGCAGAGAATGGCACACTTTTTGAGAATGATGGGTGGAATTCCATCAGGACTGTTGAATCATTTTGTACGAAATAACAAGACTGTACATGCAATCATTGTATCCCTGGGTAGCTGGAAAAGCCGTCTCTGGGCATGAAGCGGAGCAGCAGAGAATATTCCGATAATAACGGAAAACAGAACCGTCATCCCTAATTAAGCGGAAAGGAGGCGAACAACTCTGAAGATCGATAACATGGCTGCGACATCGTCACTGAGTACCGATCGTGTTACCCATCACCAGCGACAGTATCGTTCGTTCATGCTCAGATTCCATTTGGGGCCCGAAAAAAGAAAATAAAAGGACAATGGAGGCATGATACTGCGCTCAGGGACTTCGGATCCTAATTTGCGTCAGCGTCGTTCCATTGTTTGACTAGGAGCAGATCCGAAACCTCCTTAATTGATGCACAATAGCTCGATGAACAAAGAATAATGATATAGCGTCCTATATAGGATCTTGTTTAATTCATAGAAACGCAAAGAACATCGAAGAGACCCAAATAATAATTTTGGTCTATACAACTTCACGTGATCTACATAGCTTATTATCTGCAACACAAATTGCTTTGGATACAATGTTCAACTATACATGTCAAAATTTACTTATAATCAATGTTTCAAAAACCAAAACTATGTTGACCGGAAAAGCAACACAACGAGAGTTGAAAAATAGCAACTATTCTGTGAAGGTTGGAAGTGATAGTATCGAGAATTTTGAAAAATTAGTAAAGTGAAAATCAGTGAAAAAGTATTCAGGAGGGATACTAGATCGCAAACTCTCATTCCGAGAACATGCAAATTACATAATATCAAGAATGAATTATGGAATATTTTATTCACACTACCTCTCATTCTTTTTTAAGAAGATTGTGTTGACAATTTTCCATCAGCTTCCAATCCAGAGAATAGTATAGTAGAGTCGTTTATTTAACCATGTTAGATTACACAGATAAGTTTATGGCAAGTCAGAGAAATATCGTTGTATTTTATTGTGCCAAAGCCGAAAGTTACTCTGACGGCACAGAATAGAACATCCTCCAATGTTTTTAAACTTTCTAGAACACAGCGGAACATTATTGAAGATTCTAATTCAATTTGAATCATTCTGCAACATTATCTTACAAAGTATTTCATAAAACATTTTGAAACTCACAAAATCGAATACCAATTTTAACATTTGCATTATGAATAGCAAATTCATAGTTTTTTTTTTTCTTGAACGACTGAATTTTGGTGAAGATGGAACTTGACTTGCTACATGGGTGGGGCAAATATGGAATTTTAATATTGGAATGTGTGATCTTGCAACTATAGGAAGACAGTCCAATGATAACGACAGTCAATATTCAATAGTTCCTGAAGCCAAACTTGTCTGAGAATGGAGATGGAAAAGTTGATATTTCAATTATTGAATATTCGAATATTGTTGATGATTCTTATTTAGTATTTATATCAATACGATAACGGAAGTTGAGTTTCACGACTTCGTCGTCGTCGATCAGAAGATCCATGGTTAGTCTTCACTTTCATTATGTGTTCATCGCGAATTAGGAATCCATCTTGAAGGTCCAAAAATGCTCGGGCTAATGACGCTCTTCGCTTTTCCGTGAATGCTTGTATCGGTATTAAAGCCGACATGTAAAAATATGGAAATTGCATGGCAGAATGCGGTCTTGGACCGATGGTCGGACATCTTTGCATTCGCAGCCACATTTAAATTGCTAAAAGGGGACACTATCGACCGGCTCATCTCTTCTCTCTGCACCGATATTATAATCTCGTTGCAAGGCAAAATGCACATACCTAACCGGTTCGTATAGGTATAGGTATAGACTCTCGGGTCGGCCATCTTGACGACCGGCCAGATTAGGACTTATACTATATATATGCTCCATGCAAACGAGAGGCGATCGAGGTCCGATCGAGGTGTATGTATATAGCTCGAGGAGGACAATAAGCATCAGCTATTGTGTGTACGATCGATCAAAATTCCTATCGCGCCATAATGAACAGGTCGTTAGGGGCTCTACAGGTTTTTATCTTCGACGATCGGGATCGCCTCAGCAAGGCACACAACAACTGTGGCGATGCCGCCAAAAGAGAAATAGGTATATATAAATGCACATTCCTGATTACTCATTACCTATATGCTTGTTGGAACTTTTGTATCTCTATCTATCCTATACCATGTCTCGAATGATCACAAGATATATTCCTTGTTTGATTCGCGAAAGCCAGCTGAAGTTATTGTTTTTGTGTCATTCGATAATACCTACCAGGTGTCCACGTAGTGTGGAAAGATTTAGAATTCTGATCACCCTGTATCTGTTGCAATCAAATATCAGTAGATTAAATTCAACAAGAAAATCCTAAAGTTGAAAATTCTCGATTTTGAGGGAGATTCTAAAAATTGCAATGAAATACAAGGTATATTCCATTTGAAAAATTCCTGTTTCATGTATAGTCCCGCGTTCAGAGATCAAAATAATTTCGATTTTTAGACCTTATACGATATAGTTCCATGTCCTCAAAATGATTTGGGATTTGGTCTATCTCTTATTACACTGAATCTAGAGCTAGAACTTCTCCACAATATGTGGACATCGAGTATACAGGGTACTTCCTAACAAGGGTGCGAAACTTTGGAGGGTGATTCGTTATAGGTCGTTGGCAGAAAAAAATATGTCTGGAGTTGTTTGGCTTCTGAGATACCAGGTGTTGAAGTTTAAAAAACACTCTCTTTGAGTAAACTGATTATGTAAGTTGAAATTAATTACTAACTCGAAATAAAAGTATAGCAACGAAGTATAGGTACCAAGTTTGAAACAAATGGGAAAGTCACTTTATAGACTATAATCGATATTTTAAATCAATATCCGTCAGTATCATTTTTTTTATCGCTAGATTGAAAATTAAATAATGTCAAAAAGTGGCAAATGGAATGGCGTTGTTCTCACAATGTTATTCTCTATCGAAATAAGTAAAAATATACTGGGTGTCTTTCTTAAAATAATAAAATGAGAGCCATTTCCCGAGTTTTATTTGTTTATCTGTAGGAACAAAAAATTAATAGGGTTGAGCCACTTTTGAGAAACGCCTGGTATACGGCTGGGATCGCGAGGGGCAATGAAATTCCGAAAAAAGAAGACCTGTTTCCCGTACGCATATTGAGCATTATATTATATGGTCTGGGGAAAAAGATCGTACATATTCAGATGGAGGTTATAAGATGATGAAGAAATTTGATATTTTCGATATCCAAAGTGGATGCTCGATGCACCAGTATTAAAAATAGTTTATAAATGATTCTTCAGCCTCAACATCCATCCTTCTAATAATAGGAATGATTTTAAATGAACGAATTCCAACACACATGAGTGTGTGACACTATTTTTTCGAGTCGCTCGTAGACCAAACAGCATAGAAAAGCCCACGCTGGTGTTCTCTCCAAGCCTTCAATTTCGAATTCAGGTTCGAAGGTCATTGACTATGTCAAAATATGCTAATGAATGTGGGAATCCACCTTTATCTCGTGACAGGTTCACTATATTTTGATCGGAGCGATTTCTCATGATGTCATCCATAACTAGATTTGAATTTCCCAAAACAACTGTACTTTTTTATATTCATGCTCGACTGGTAGTAGGTTTCGAGTGATTGATAAACACTTCTTTACGGTCAAGCATTCACTTTCCTATCATCCATTGCGAAACATTTAACATTTTGAATTGTGGCAATGGTACAGGATGTAGAACAGGTAATAATAAGACATTTAATAAAAATGTGCCTATATATTTAGAGTAGAGTCGCAGGGATTATGGAATACCGTTTTTATTTTTTGAGTTATTTCGGAAATTTTTGATAGAAATATGAAATGGTGATGGTGGATGGTGTGGTCAAAAGATTTATTACACTGAATTATGATAAGAAACTTATATGGATAAAAGCAATAAAATGATATTTTGGATTATTGAAAAATACTTTTCATTTCTTTCTGCCGAAAAAATAGTCAGGTCGCTACGCGTCGTGATTCAAACTTCACACGCGGGAGGAAATTGATACATTTCCTCCCTTGATATATAAATTGCTATTATAAGCACTATGTTCAGCAGTCAGTTCGACTGACACTATACAAAACACGATGAACGATGTACTTCTGGTTGTATTTATATTGAAACTACAATTCGAACATCCTAGATAACCTAACCTGCTGTTAATGCAGGTAGATTCTGACCACATGGATTATTTGTCAATATTTGTTGCATTGCATACTTATGGCACGACATTGGTGGTTACTTCACATGTTTATTTGAGTTAATTGTTTCGGTTGCAGAAAAAATAGCATGTTTCATTCGGATCAAAAGTGACTTTGTTCAACTCGCAAATGCAAAATTCGCTTGTCAAACAAAGTGTCACTCTTGATCCTAATAAAACAATCTACTATTTTATCAAAGATTTGAAAGTACTTACTTGACTTACTTGGAGTTGAAAAAGTTTTACATAAAGTTAACTAGTATGAACTATATGCCTGCTGATGCTCATAGTCACAAGCTCATATGTGTAAATAGTTAATAAACAGGTTCGCATTAAATGAAATTAACTGTGTGGAGATGACTCAGAGCTTTCCTTTCTTCCTTTATTCCACTCCACTTTGAGCAATATGGACGTTTCCAAAGGTTGTTGTTTTGCATTTTGTGTTCAGTAGTATATTACTTCGATTGATCCAACATAATACAGCAAAGTTTGATTACTTTTCCTTGAGGCATTTTCAAGAAAGCATCTGACCCCGTAATTGAAATAATGATTTGTTTCGAACTTTAGGAACCCATAATCTCTATCAGGAGACATTTTAGGACATTCCTCGATAGGAACTCGGTCTATCTTCATGATTTCCAAATAGCCTAACACGTTTTTTTTTTGTTCGACAGGTACATGAGCTGTGTGATAACTTCTGTCACCGGTATATAAGTTGTTTGAAGGGCAAGATGCCAATAGACTTAGTGATAGACGAGAGGGATGGGGGTAAACCGCCCGAATTGGCTGGTTCGACGAACGGAGATGGGGGCACCAGGAGCAACGCTGATTCCACCTCGCACACAGATGGCGCTAGTACGCCGGATGTCGTAAGTACTTATTTTTTATCAAATCGATCCTTTTCGAACACCTATCCTACCCTCTGAAACGAAAAAAAACTATGTCATGTTATAAGAACGTTGTTTCTACATCTACACCATCTATTAGTTATAGACTAGCCGTTAACGACAGATTATGTGCATCGTTCGTTCAATATATGCATCTTTCAATTAATGTGTTTTGTAGGTGTAAAACATGTCCTATTGTATAGACAATTATCTGAAGTGTGCACGCAGCGGCGTCACCAATAAAATTTGACTTTGCATTGAGAATTGATGATTTAGAATGATGAGTAAATGCATGCAAAATGGTTTTTGTTGAAATTTGAGAAAAATGATACCGCGGAAAGAATTTAAGTCCCGAAATTATTAACTGAACATGTGCAAAATTATTTTTGGTGTTATATATTTGTTAATTTTGAAACATGCACTTTCATTGTGAATTTTGTGGCGAATCTATGGGTACTTTTGATGCTGAACCTTCATTATTGGATATTTGTGAAATTAATCATCATAGTCGTCTTTCATGATCACTGCGATCGTATCTGCTCCAACTGTATGCATGTTAGATGCTATACTGCAGAGTTACATTGTGAACATATTCGAAGTCGAAGTTCCTTGTTCTGCAAATTGTGTGCGTAATACCCGCTTGAAAGTCGTCTTATATGGTCATTGCGTACTTGTCTGCTTCAATAGTGTCAAGAATTGTTGTATAGAATGAGCAAACAAATATTTAGTTCTACATGTGCTATGTCAAACTATAACTTCTCAAATTACCATGTCTAAGTTGTTCCCGAAAAGTGAAATTCATTAGAAAACTGTCATGCGCGTTGGCTATCATCTCAGTGTCGCCTTCCATTAGATACTGTGTTGCATCTCTCACCGCTAAGGTCAAAATGGTTGTTGTAATATGTAATTTCGTTTCGTTGGTGAAAAGTCTAATTTTGCATTGTTCTCAAAACAAAGAAAATACAAGTCTACGAGTATGTAAATGTTATGAATACCGATTTTTATAAAGAGCGAATCTAATTGTCGACCTACACGTTCCAATACGCTGGTTATCGATTGTTCCACTTGGAAATAATGGAATTTAGCCGGGTCGAACAACTATAGCAAGTGATTATTTAAAGTTTAATTCAATAACCCGCAGGGAAGACTGACGATATACCCATAGACCCATACAGACCGACCGGGCAGCAGATGTTTCGTTCTTCTGGTCCCGTAATAAATCGAACAAATCCACCTGTTTGCGAGAGGGAAGCTCCATGGACGATTACAAGCCATCACTGTCTCCTGAATTAGGCCGTTTGGAGGGAATCGCTTCCCGCTTGCCTTCTCTCTGCTCGCTGCTCCGCGTTTTACAAGCTATTTGAAGTCAATAAAATGATAATGCGCCAATAAAGGCACCGCATTGGGACGTCTTCTCGGGCTAAGTGATTCCGAGACGATGCAAATTGTATCGAGGAGGATAAAGAGACGCGCCGAGGACTAGACAAAGGCCCGAAATGCGCGAGGCCATACCGAAATCAAGGAGGAGATAACGTCGGTTGGAAATGGGCCTTTCCAGTTTCGTAGGAATTTGAACTTTTTTCGCTACAATGTCATGAAGGAAAGTTAAAAACTTTATTCCTACCACATATTCATCGAAAATACCGAACAACAAATGAATTATTTTGTATTGAAAATGCCATTTCGTTTTTTTTATGTTCTGGTTCCCACGATAAGGGATATCCTGTATTGTTCAGAGAACATCGTGAGAACCGAGGGAATTAAGGTAGGAATTGGTGTTCTTCCAAAATTTCTGGAAATTATCTGCCTCGGGAACCACCTCCCTTGGCCTTTGGAAAGAGATGTTCTGCAGGTCTAGAAAGTGACCACGAAGGGGTGCGAAGCCTCAACTCGACGGAGGACTGCCAAGGGAGGAACAATTGTTGATATTTCAGAAGAAGAGCATCTTCCATGAGAATATCTATAAAATAGAGCCAGATCGTCAACTTTTTTACGGTGTTCCAGAGAAGTGAGTGAGTTTGTGAGCGAGGCATCACCCATGGGACGAATTGCCGTTTTTTGGACAGAATCCAACAGTTTCAGGGTATGTTTGGGTGCTGTACATGAGATTTAGCTGTGTGGCCCCAGACTACCGAGGCATACCTACAGCCTAACAGCCATGATGTGAATATTCAATTTTTGTTTCAAACCCAATTTACTTCGTCTCTTTAGAAATGGATACAGGGCTCCAATGGCTCGTTTGCTACGTCTCTGATTTATTTTATGTTATGTTACTATTATTATAGGTATGTTCTTTGCTTTGCTGAAAAGAAAGTCTAGCATTTGAGGTATTTTCCAGCGTTGTCTGGTGCACTCGACCACATCCACGGCGCTATGCGGCGTTCATTTGTCATCGGCCAATTCTCGTCGAGACGAAAATCTGTCATTCCGACTCTTCGACACGACAAAAGCGAATCGTCCGCCAGGCACGGCCATGATGATGAGTGTAAAAATAGCAGTCGCGAGCATGAGCGCCGCCAGGGCAAAATGCAGGGGGTGGGTGGATAGAACAAAATATTGAATAACATTCGTGGATAATCGTGAACCATGAGTTCGTTGTGAAAGAATATCGATCAAAATAAATCACATTCGGATTAGGAAAAAGTATTATAGAAACTCACAGTTCTCATTATGGAAATGAAAATTGTAGTTTTAACATTTTTCCCGGAGTTACTTATTGTTCTCTGCATGGACACACACTGTGCAAAATATTTAATCTAGTCTCTCTAGCCTCGATTCACCAATGGTACTGAAAGATGTTTTGATACTACAGATGGTGAGAGGTATTGATAGGGAAATCTTCATACCATGATGAGATGAAGCTGAAGAAAATTCAAAATCCTTCAATATTTCGTGGAATTCCAAATCATCTTTATTAACTATTTCACCAGTATTGGATCCATACCGATTGTTCTTCTGTAAGTAACTGAATTTTCAATATCGAAAGTTTCAGCGCTATTATTCATTCTGGGTCCCAAATTGTTATCTTTCAGATGTTTTTCAAAGAAATTCTGAAATGATCTTATGCAGGAGCCCTGTCAATATTTGTTCTATTGATCTGACGTTTTGCTATGATGATTTGCTTGATATTTCTAGTCCAAAATAATCGGCAATTTCTATAGATTTTGTGTAAATTCTCCCAAACCCTCGCCCAAACCATTAATCAGCAATGTTACCAATCTGATTTTGAGAAGACGAACTCTGTTTGAAAAACTCTGATATTAATCGATAATCAACCAAACATAGATAGTTTTTCTCGTTCATGCAGCTCTCCAGGAGTCCAGGAGTCCACAAACAGAAGCCAACCGCACACTTGTGGTTTCGGTCAGCTTCTGTTTGTTGACTCCGTTTTTTGTTGTTTCGTTTTCTACCAAGTGCTGCCCATCCTTTGCACTCCTTTTCACCGTACTGATGAGGGCCGAAAGCCCGAAATACGTGTATACGGTTATCTCTTTGTGAGGGCTATGTCCAATAATCTCTTTCCTAGTCACTCTACAGTTCCCTCGATATCACTTTCATCTTATTGATAACAATTATGATCGAATTTCTCGATAGACCGTCTGCCCCCCCCCCTTTCCGGCGCCTATGGACGCGCGGTATGCGTCGAGTGAGTAAAAGCCGGGTTACGCTTCGGAAGGCGCTCGAAACGAGAGTACTCCATAACTCGGATGGCACACTGCGATGCCAATAGCATCTCGCGCAAACATTTGTCGTCTGAGCGGTATAATTAACGCGGTATTTATAGTGCAAGGGCAACGATCAACACTCGAGGAAACAACGAATGTCTATCGGCACATGGACAATTATTTCAGATATCTGTCGGTCTATCGTCGCTATCTCTAGCCGATGTCACCTTTTGATGCTTTCGATTCTTCAGATCGCTGCTGAATTTCCGATAAATAATAGTTTATGTCGATATACAGGGTGTTTCAAAATTCGACTGACGACCCTTGACAGGTGATAGTCCTCGTTATTTCCCACATACTATGAGATATGGTGTTGAAGTTGGGAATAAAATAACTTTTTTTGCAATAACTCGAGAATAATTGAATATTTTGCATTCAAATTCGGTATATGGTTTCATCTTCGAATGGGCCATTTTTGACCAGGAAGTCAATCCGGACATTTTATCCATTGGTGCACTGCAGGTGGTTGTGGTTACTTTCCCTAGAAAATACGCTTTGTCACTGATGAAATCTCGATTATTGTTTCTTTCTTGAATTCACTGTTCAATTTTGTTGAAAAAAATTCATCATCTTCAATTATAAAGTTGAAATGAACAGTTTCCAAGATATTCGACCCCAAATAGAAGCTGTGTTTCAATAATGCAAACTCTTCGTTGTGGTATTTCATTTAAAAATCAGTTCGTATCTGAAAACTATTTGACATCAAATACTTGACAGTGAACTAGACAAATGTCAACTAATTTAACCATTCTGAATAGGTTGACAATTACATTTATATCTGAAGAACAACTTACCCGAAATACCAGGGTTCAAAGGTAGATGATTCTGAAAGATTGCAAATGCAACTGTAATATTGTGATATTGTGGCAAAACTTTCTGAATATATGGTGCTGGTGTAGCATGAAGTTTTTGAAATTGCATTTCAACAACAAAACATCGAAAATCATACGTTAGGTCTACGTAAAGTAAATATTAGAATTCTCTATAGACAACCAAGATCTGTAATAGCTTCTATGCAGCAATATGAACGTATCCGGAACACATTCCATCTGATCTTCGGGAAGATTTACGATGAATGTCGCACTACTAAATACGAATCAGTCGGGCACAGTTATGAGTTATTACGGCAAGCTTTCCGTCTAGTTGGTACCGGTAATCGTCGGTGAGATTTCCCAGCGTTCACTTATCGTACGCCACTGCATCGAGAAGTGTCACTGGCTCGTACGGGACGTCGCTAAAAACACGACCCGAAATAGA